TTTGCTTTTCAAGTGTGCAACCAACCGAACCCAGTGTGTATAGATACTATGGAATTCAATGGGCATCATTTTTACAGTAATTGGTTGTAATAAAATATTTGAATTTGAATTCACTGTACGCGGTGTTTGAAGCATCGCTATTCAGTTCCGGGCCCACTTTGACCCGACCAACTGAGAGATAAAAACATTGTCTCCAAGGCGGACAACAACATTACTCAGCTTCATCAAATCACAACACTTATACTCAGGACCAGAATTTCACGTCTGGCTAACAAATCGCTTATTGAATATTTTCTTCTTCAAAATGGTTGCAAGGGACGTGCTCTACTTTCTGGGCTCTTTAAACCGTTTCCTCATGTTTTACTCAATGAACACCTCTGCGTATTCACTGTTCAGGCGTGTGTGTTCCGTTCTACCCATTCAATGTTCCGTTGAATTACTGCACCATATATTCTGATCTCTGGAGCTCTGTCCAAGGCAATCAAATGATTTACCGTAGGTTGACAATTACGGTGCGTCCAAATGGAATCACCGACTCTGCTCACTCAAACCGTCGTTGCCACGTATCCGCATTATTGCACCGATGTATGCTTCGTCATTCTGGTGCAGATTAGAAAATCCTTAGTAGGCAGTGTGTATGGATTCTGACGGGCTATCATCACCAACCAGTCCGATGCAACCAACACACGTTTCACTGGAAACGATTCCCCGAATTTCAGGTGTTCTAGTGTTATATGGAAACTGTATGTTGGTTTCTCAGTTATGTACAGGTGAATGAACAATAGAGGCCACGAATCCACCGTGGGAACACCTTCGTGTTGAGGTGAGTTTGTTCATAGATCCCAACTCTTCAAGTGGTAAATAATACTTCAACTGCGAGGATATTTTTATTGAACAAAATATCGCTCAGATGCACCCAGCCGAAATGGACAAGCTGTCGAGAAACAGTATTTTCCTTCGAGACTTTTGAAAATCAATTGACGCATAGTCAGAAGGCGTGTTTGTACATTTATATATTATAAATAGTTAAACAAATATGAAATGCGATGATAGCGCGTTATTGATCGTTCGACGGTCATTAACCTGCACCACCGGTTTCACAGACAACTGAACAATCTGTTCTCCTTCGCACAGTATGTTCAAATAGAGTTGTTTTAAAACAGATACGCCATGCAAGCCGGAATGGTCTTTCTTTCCTATTGAGATTTATCACAGATAAATTCAGTAGAAAATCCACAAGTCGGTGATGGTCGACGACACTTGTTTATTGAGGATTGCATGCAGCACATCACATGACAAGGAAATCCCATCAGAAACATAACATGGCAGTTCGTGACGGCACAAGGGCTGTTCAATGTAGAATTATGCAGTTATTTTATGAAACCGAGCAAATAATCCTCGGCGATTTTGTTAATTTTTGATCGGTGGAATAAGTCTCCAAATGCGTTACCTACTATTCATAAATGTGATAATTTTCAAGTGCACCATAATTAAAGCATTTCCATTGGTTGATACTAGATTTACGCAACGGAACATCTAATTTTTGAATTGCGAAGTGGAGATTAATCGTGCATATGGCAAGTAAGAGAAACTTGACAAATTAGGACTCCTTGTAAAGCCGTTTCAAATCTCATCGACCCAACTGGAGATCGAACTAGGGACCTCACAGGTGGAGCTCAGGCAAGAAACCTACTCAGGTCCCTTGGCACAATACTTGATACAACTGTGAGACTTACATGGACTGTTGGATGAATAAATACGAGATGAATAGAAAAGGTCTATTGATGGCGAACACTACGATACATTAACGTTTGTGTTATGAATTCCTGAAGTTGGGTTCTCAGCTCACCTGTTCATACACTGATACAATATTTGAAAAATCACTTACCGTACAAATACGAAACATGTGGCATAAACACAAAAGCAGTGGAAAGTCATAATGGCGAGGTGTGTCAAATTGCTCACCTGCTACCCACTCACCCCCTCACCCCCGCCCTAGCCGGTGTGATTTGCTCTCGTGTATAAAACGCCTATTCCCCCCTTCAAGGTCAGAGAAAAGAAACACCAAAGATGGCAGATCACGTGTGCTAGACAGAGAGAGAAACAATTAATCAATCGAAGGTACATATTTCGAGATACCGAACAAACAGACTTTTGGGGTACAATAGACCGAACAAAGAGAAGCAAATGGTCGGAACTCAAAATACCCAGCAAACAAATAGGCAGAGAAACACGAGGAATGTACTCGGACAATACAATTTACGGAGAAGAAACAGTCAAATAAAACCATTTGGGAGCACAGACAACTTGATTAGTTTCATATAAAGCATATTTCTGCATAGATATGATGTGTGTAATAATTGTTAGTTCGCCGGCAGTTAACCAATCACTCCTGGATGCACGTAACCGGTTAAATGTCTATTCAACATTGTTCTGTGTAAATAATGACAAACCAATTTACGAAAGGTATCTCGATGGGATGGAACTCAGTTGATCTCCGTGGTCGCATCTTATGCCGTCTGAATAATTTATCGGCACAGGAATTGATCGTCACCAGCGTAGTATTTGATAGTGTTATAGAGAAGACGTTTAAATATTTGGCCAAAAGATCTTGCCACTGCCGGATTTGCTGGCATCGTTTTCTGTGTCAGTGTACATTTCATCAAAGCAACTAGACGCACTGCCTTCTGGATATGCCTGTCTGGCTGTTAAACAATCCCCTCAGATTTTCTCCACCGGTTTGAGATCAGGGGAAGAAATGGAATTCTACGGGGCATTGCTTTTATAAACGAGAGACCATCTCCGTGTGTGATGTGCGACCTGTGGACTGAGGCCACGGTTTATTATCAAACGCTACAATACAGTACAGAATTGAGCGACATTGAAGCACACATCCTACGGATGTGATACTTTGGTGACGTTACCTACAAACCACCACCGGCAGAGCAAAAGCAACCACTTGGTTTGGTAAGCCTTAAACGACGTCAGGAATAATCACTGACTCACCCCTGCTCGAATGTAAAAGCACCTTTGTAGTGACATGGTACAGCGCATTCGTGACACCCGGAATATGGTTATAGACCAAGCACATCACATCGGTTTTCACTGTCATGGTGCTTGTGTGGTCTCCATTTGAGAAAGTGAACCGTTCGACGAATTCCACGTCGACCATCAGATACCATTTCTCACCGAAGTGCATCGGGAGAGTCTGGAATGTCAAGGAGACACAAAGTGTTTTACAGAGAAATTTCAACAAGCTTTGTTGCGTATAACTAAACATCTCTAATAATCGAATCACGGCATCTGAAGCGTAAGAACTCGTTTGATGCTTGATGCAACGGAGACCGTGTCAATCCAGATGGAGGATGACTGTATTTCTGTTCACTGTTCAGCACATGTGGTTGACTACGAGATCGTGTGAACGTGCAATGGAATCGCCTCATTAGGGAATCATGCAGAGCACAGTTGAACAGTGTAATGTGAACAGTGGTAGTCACTCACCAACACCTCAGTCAGTCCAGATGAATGTGTGATCTTCAGGGGTACTTGGTCGTCAGAACTGGAAACTGTGACCTTCATCATCCAAAGATTGTGATACACAATGTGTTTTGCTGATTTGCATTCGAGTTTTGAGTCCTGGTTTTGAGCGACGCTCATCACAAATCGAACGGTGTCTCTGAAACGAATGAGAAATGGGATGCATCACTGTAGGGCAGAACAGATATATTCGCTAAATCAAATGACGATAATCAATAGTCCAACATGCTCGCAGGTCGCTCCCCAAACAATTGGTTTTGTGATATCCACTACGATCCTGATTATGCTGAAGCGGCCAGGTCGCTGATGCATCTTTCACACCATTTTGTCACCAGATTCAGGAGTATTTCACAAATCGAGCCCCAATATGTCGTGTAATCGGCGAAATAGCAATAGATCTGAGTTGACCAAGGTTCAAGCTTACATCGGATAAATAGCCGATGTTTCCGTGTCTAGCCTCGTGTCAAGTAAAGCTTTGTATTCGTTTTCCGGTTCGATTCCGAAATTGAACATTTGGTCACATGATTCTTCTTCAACCCCACAACTCAGATGAAATCGCTTCTTACTCCCTTCCAACGCAGCATCTGCCATTCTGACAGAAAAAGTTATGATGATGTGATTTCCCGTCCTGTCACGCCGTGAATCTGTTAACTGATATGAAAACACGTTTGTTAGCAGATGATCTCAGTCAGCTTTTCGGAATAATGTAATATATATTTCATTGAATGTTCCGGTCAAGTAATAGCTCACTCACTTTTCATTTTCGGTTTCTTCAATGAAAATTCCAATTTATTCCTTCCAATGGTTTTGTATTGACCAAACGACTTGACATCAGCTAACTCAGTCAGCAGATTGTTCCCGAATTCGATCTGAATGAAACTGAGATTACACAGAGCGACGTTTGACATCAAAGACCTTCCACAATCGATCCAGAATGAGGATGGGTTTGGACCATTTATCTTCGACATATCGATTCGAGTTTTCACATTTTGTGGTCTATTGATCCCTATGTGCCAGTACTTCACAGATACCGAGGTGAACCTGTTGCAAAGCTGGTACAAGTATGCCAAATGCATCAAAAGAAACAATATCAGTGCATGTCCAAATGGGAACAGTCAGTGTTGACAGTATCTTTCATCATCAGTCTACCATTCGATCTGTACGTTAAGAAGATGACTCTAGGCGAGAGAT